AAACCGGAGATTCTGATTGAGCTTGAGAGGTTTTATGGACAGTTGTACAAATCATCACAACAACCCGTTGAAAGCAATGCTCAGGACACCAGAGCAAAGCTGACCCGACATCACACCGAGGATATCCCAGACATCAGCCTGTACGAGATTAGAATGGCACTCAAACAGCTCAAGAACAACAAGGCACCGGGGGATGACGGAATCACTACTGAACTTTTGCGAGCGGGTGGAAAACCGGTACTCTTAGTCCTCCAGAAATTGTTCAATTCCGTCATTCTCGAGGGTACGACGCCAGAAGCGTGGCACAGAAGCGTGGTTGTGCTCTTCTTCAAAAAAGGTGACAAGACCTTGTTGAAGAATTATAGACCAATCTCGCTTCTGAGCCACGTTTATAAGCTGTTTTCGAGGGTCATTACGAATCGTCTCGAACGCCGGTTTGATGACTTCCAGCCTCCCGAACAAGCCGGTTTCCGAAAAGGCTTTAGCACCATAGACCACATACATACGCTGCGGCAGATTATACAGAAGACCGAGGAGTATAATCTGCCACTTTGCTTAGCGTTTGTGGACTATGAGAAAGCCTTCGATTCAATCGAAACCTGGGCAGTACTGCAGTCCCTCCAGCGATGCCAAATCGACTACAGGTACGTCGAAGTGTTGAAGCGTTTGTATAGCAACGCCACAATGTCGATTCGCTACCAGGAAGAGAGCACGAAACCAATCCAATTGCGCAGAGGCGTGAGACAGGGAGATGTCATTTCTCCGAAACTGTTCACGAATGCATTGGAGGACGTCTTCAAGCTCTTGGAATGGGACGAATACGGCATCAACATCAATGGCGAATACATCACTCACCTTCGTTTCGCCGATGATATAGTCATCTTGGCAAGATCGATGGAGCACATCAGTACAATGCTCAGCGACCTGAGTATCGTTTCCAAACAGGTGGGTCTTAAAATGAACATGAACAAGACGAAAATCATGTCGAATGTCCATGTTGCACCCGTACCGGTGGTCATTGGAACTGATACTCTCGAAGTTGTCGATCACTACGTGTACCTTGGACAGACAATCCAGTTAGGTAGATCCAATTTCGACAAAGAGGTCGCTCGAAGAATCCAACTCGGCTGGGCAGCGTTCGGGAAGCTACGCGATATCTTCACGTCCAAATTACCACAGTGCCTAAAGACGAAGGTGTATAACCAGTGTGTGTTGCCAGTGATGACCTATGGCACTGAAACGTGGTCCTTAACTGCTGGCCTCTTAGAGAAGCTCAGAGTCGCTCAGCGAGGCATGGAGAGAGCTATGTTAGGGGTTTCTTTGCGCGATAGGATCCGAAACGTGGATATTCGCCAAAGAACTAGAGTGACCGACATAGCTCGCAAAGTTTGTAAGCTGAAGTGGCAGTGGGCAGGCCACATCGCTCGACGAACCGATAACCGATGGGGACGAAAGGTTCTCGAGTGGAGACCACGAACCGGAAGACGCAGCGTGGGTCGACCCCCGACTAGATGGACGGACGACATCGTCCGAGTCGCGGGCGGCCACTGGATGCAGCTGGCGCAATGTCGTCCGTCGTGGCGTTCAAAGGGGGAGGCCTATGTTCAGCAGAGGACGTCTTCCGGCTGTTGATGAATTGATAATTAAAGTATTGTCATACGAGATTACATCGAGTTTGTGATTACTTTTTATCATGAAGGCAAAGGAGTATAAATATATAAATCTAAAGTAAGATTCAGAGAATCCCAAAAGCATTTTATTTGTTAGATAATGAGGAGTCGGATGAGGAGTGATCTTACCATGGGCTCGCAGGAAGATACTTACCATGGTTCTCTCAGCCAACACTAGTTAGGAATCTGTTCAGTGCGTGATCTTACCACGAGCTCGCAGGCAGTAACTTACCACGGTGCTTCCAACTGAACAGCTTAGATGGAGATCGGTGCGTGATCGTAGATCGCTACAGTTATACGATTTTAATGTTAGGGAGAGATTTCTTAACCTTTCAGAGTTTCTTAGGCCAGTTCTTCTCTGTCAAAGGGTCTCTCAATTTACGAAGTGGTGGTAGATTTGGTTTCTTATTTATTAGATAATTGAAGTGGAATGAAATAACGAGGTAACGAATATCCGAGATGGTTATTGGGCATTTCACCCCACGAGAAGTGACGGCGCAAGCCTGAGCGAACGAAAGTGAGATAGAATGCCCAATAACCATCTACTCATATAATATTAGTTGCCATCACAGCTGTACTTATAAATTCATTACTAAGCTAGATATTTTGTAGTTCGTTTTTAAATATTTAGAATCATACCGTTTTCCAATAAATTTATTTTGTTATTTACAATTTTGTAGTGTTTGTCTATGAGAGTTTCCGTGCGCTTTAAGAGATTAAGTTCGGATTCAACTACTGAGGTTTGATTCTTCCACAGCCGTGCGAGGCGGTTTTGATTTTCTCTGATTAATTGTATATCTTGTTTGTACTTTTCAGCGAACTGCGAATCTAGTAAGCCGAACAGTTTATTTCCCATGTAGCCTAACACTGTCTATCAAACCACGTCGTAGGCGCGTGACGTGAGGTGTCGGATTAATTGATAAAATATAAATTATTATAATAATTTAATTCTGTGAATTCGTGACGGAGCTGCAACATGATACCGTCGCAATGGGATTGCTCTTTTACATTATCACATAAATTATTTGAGTATTGAATATATTTTTTAAGTGCCGTAATTCCTTGTTCATAAGTTTCTGTATCTTGGTAGACTACGAGGCGCCACTCGTCTCTAATTAAATGCATGTTGGTTATGTCATCGAAATAAATACTATTGTTTTCAAGTGGAGTAATATTGTAAACGCCGTGTGTGCCAATGTGCCAATAGTAAAATGCTATCGTTATTGAACTGAATGAATAAGGTTTTAGTCTTCTGTTAGTAACAGCGCAGGTTTGTGATTTAATTTCTTCCTTTTCTACAGGGGGTTCAGGAGACTTCGTCTTATTCTGGCAACATTGATTTTCGCTCGTAATCGGCAGAACTGATATTTTGACAATCGGGCATTTTATTATTCCTGTTTTAGTTTTTAAAATAACTACTCTTATTAGGCCGTCACTTCCGGGGTGTAGTGAAATAATGCAACCTAAGGGCCATTTTCCGGGTGGCATATTTTCTTCTCTGAGGGTAACAATGTCGCCGATCTTCACGATATCTCGTGGTTTCCTCCATTTGTTCTCGATCCTAACTGAGTCAAATATTCATTATGCCATCGGTCCCATAGGTCTCTTAATATATTTTGTGTAAGGGTCCACCTTGTCCTCAAATCTTTTTCAGTGTTACAGATGTTAAGTAAGATTTGGACCGCTTGCTAGGAAGTGTGATGGGGCTTATACGTCCAAGTCTTGAGGGTCTTCAGTAAGTGGACATAGTGGACGAGACTTCAGCTAACTTTCTAACTGTGTCAATAAAGTGCTGGGCTCTTCGAAAGTGAGCTTCTGTTCACCTATTACTCTTCAGAAGTGGTGCTTGAAGCTTTTAACGGCTGCTTCCCATAGTCCACCTTTTTTTTTTTTTTTTTTTTTATACCGAGGGGAACTGACCTTAACATGTCATCGACCTGGGCGAGAGGCCGACTAAACCCGGGCTCTCTAAATGTGCCGAAGTGGTGAGCGCCTCGCCGCCGAGCCGCAGCCGACTCCATCCCTTCATCGCTGGCCGTGCCGGGATGCTTTGTGGCCCCGACACGACCTGCCACGCCCCCGCCCCCCGGCTACGCCACCACCCCGGCGCGAGATGGGGACATCCCCCCTCTCCTCCTCCTTGAGGAGAGGTGCATCCCGACTCCGCTCACTCCACATCCCCGCCCCTCACTCCACATCCCCGCCCCTCATGCCCGTTCTCAGAGGAGAACAGTATAGAGGGGACAGCGAGTAGTGGAGCCGCTCCAAGCTACACCCCACGGGCTAGTGAACACACTATTGTGTGTCCATTTCGCTCGCGGCAGCGCTGCTCGGTTCCGTACGCGGTTTCCGGAATCCGGGGACCGGCCATCTTCTGTGTCTCACGGGCGGTGGGCGGCAACTCTTGCTGCCCATCACATGCCCGGCATTGCATCCGGCTGCTGTACAGACTACGCACTGCGGCACCTTTCCGCATGTTGCAGCCTTGTGCCCTTCTCTTCCGCACCTATAACATATGCCAGTGCGATCGACGTTGGCTGTGCATTGCGCTCTCATGTGCCCCACTCCCATGCATCGATAACAACGCAGCGGGAGAGGCGGCAGCTCCCTCACTTTCGCACAGCCCCATCCCATCTCTACTCTGCCCTTCTGGCACAGGGCTCTCGCGGCCACCGCCGGGATCTGTAGGAGGGCAACCCCCAATCCTCCGTATCCCGTCTTGATTCGTCCCACTCTGATGTGCTCAGGGGAGCAGCCGGTAGCCTCCAGTATCTCCTTTCTTATTTCCTCCTCGGTGACTGTTTCGTCTAGCTCTGTAATCCGTACGTCTGTCCGGATTACAGGTCGTGTCACCTTCACCTCTTCTCCTAGAACTTCTTTCAGCCGTTCAGCCAGTTGGTCGGCCTTTCGGTCTCGCTCTTGTTCCTCTCCAGGAACCTCCAACATTCTTGCCCCAGTGGCGGCAATTCTGTTGACGAGCCCCTTCCCCAGCCCCAGTTCTTGCAGGCTGATTCCCGTCTTCGCTCGGCGATAAACTTCGGCGTATGTCAAGCCTCGTTCTTCGGCCTCACGGGTAATCTCGAGTTTGACCGCTGCGGTCTTAGGCAGCTTAGTCCTCTTTTTTCTCTTCTTTCTTTCCTTTCTCTTCTTTTCCGGCTTTTGCCTCAGTTCGGCTCCGCCTTTTCCCTTCTCTTTTTTGGGGATGCTTTCCTTTTTAGGCATTTCTGCCTCTTTCTCTTTCTTCTTCTTCCGCCTGCCCTTTTTAACGACCTCCGTCCAACTGTTTTCCTGGGCAGGTCTCTCCTCACTTTCCCTCTCTTTTTTCCCGTCTCATGACCTTTCTCTCACTAGTGGTGCGTCCTCTGTTGCAGGTCTTCGCTTCTTCACCTTAGCGGCGCATCCTCCTGCCGCGAGTGGTGGGCGATTCTGGATCGTCCAGATAAGGTCTTTCAACCTTCCCACTTCTGCTTTGAGTTCGGTCACTTCTCCGTTGAGCCGGCTCATAACCCTTTCATTAGCCTCCTGCTCCACCCTCAGCTTCAGAACTTCCTCCTCTAGTTTCTGCTTCTCAGCCTTGTGGGCGCGGTACCTGACATATATTTCCCGTACCCACGAGGTATCAAGCAATTTGCTGAGGTCGGCGGCGTCCTCCTCAAACTTTTGCAGAACCACGGTCAACTCCTCCTTAAAATCCGCAGACAAGTCGCTCCTATTCTTGACGACTTCCCGAGTATCCCGCAGGACCTCGACCATCTCGGCACAGAGCAGGTCTCTCTCCTTGCCGATCCTGTCGATTTTCTGTAGGTTGTCTTCTACGTCTTTTTCCTCCTTTCTCTTCTCGTCCTCCTCTTCTTTCCCCTCTTCTATATCCATTTCGTCCTCTCCAGAGGATTGATTTGGATCTTCCTTCTGTCCTTTTTTCCCTGCTTCCACTATCTTGGAGAGCAGGTTTTCTCCCCTTTCTTGCGATCGGCTTTCCTCTTTCCCTCTTTTACTAAGCCGGATCGTCTCCTCTTTGTCACTGTCCGACTGTGCCTCGGTCAGCTCTTCTTCTTCAACGGTGGTGACTTGGGTGCGTCGCGGGTTCGCCGAGTGCTTCCATCGGCCCCTCCGGGCCGTTGGTACTTTGGCCTCAGGCGAGGCCTTGCAGTCTCCCTTGCAATCCACCGCTTCAATCGGTCTCTTTATTCGGCCAGATGTTTTTGGCACCGATTTTTCCTTCCTCTTCTTATCTTCTGCGCTGTTATATATCGGAGTCAGCGCTTCCTCCTGAAGTCTGTAGTTCCCCTCCACCGAGTGTGGGGAGCCAGCGGGTAGGAGAGGCGATAAATCGCGTCGCGTACCCGCTGAGGCGGACTCTCCGGCTTGGTGTCCGGTACCGCCCGGTGGTAGATCATTTTTCCTAGCAGACCTTTCCATATTGTTTTCCTCTTTCGGGCGAGGTTGCCCACTCCTCCAACTCCACTCCTCTTCTCCCCACTGGGTAATTTTTTAGAGAGGTTTTCTTCCTCGCAGCCCCCACCCGCAGGTAGCGGCCCCCGGCTCGGCACTACATACCAGGTTACGGTCGTGGCCGACGGTGACAAAGGTCATGTCAGGGCTGCGCAAGCACAACCACCGACCCGCCGCCCACTCGTCTATACGACCCCCAAACGTGGCTTCTAGAGAAGCCTTACCATCCCCCTATTCACCAACGCTGGACGTCTCTCCCCTCTCTAATGACCCCTTACAGGATCACCCTCACTTCCCCCCCTCGGCGGCCACTACCCGGACTATCCAGGATGCCCGCCGAGCCCCCAGTGTCGGACTCTTGGCCATAGGGACCGATGGTTCAGCTAATACTGAATCCATCCTTCCCTATGCCCGGGGTACACCGGCCCGCGACCATGGCGGATCCGCTCCCAATGGGAGTTGATCATCCATGGTAACAGGCGCACGAGGAGGTGTTCCGACCACGCACCCCCCCATAGTCCACCTGCTGATGGCTATGCCAGGGCGTTAAAATGTCATTTTATGCCCATTTCAGTAACTTCTGTCATAAAGTTGCTGTCGAATATGGCGCGTAAATGTTCATGCTCTTAGTGTAGTATTTTATTGGCACCCACAAAGTTTGTACCTTGTACAAACTTTCGAGACATACAATTAAAGTTATTTGAAAGTTATCTTACGAATAGGTATCAGAGAGTTAGAGTTGGTGAATATAAGAGTTCGGACTTGCCAATAAATTTTGGTGTCCCACAGGGCAGCGTTTTGGACTCTACACTCTTCCTCGCATTTATAAATGACATGTTTAATTTATATCTGACAAACGGTAAAATTGTAACTTTTGCCGATGACACTGTGCTTATTTTCCATGCAGATACTTGGCAACAAGTACATGCTCAGTCTGGTTTTAATAAAGTTTATTCTTGGCTCATCGACAATGCCTTAACACTTAATACTGACAAAACTAAATATATATCTTTCTCTACAAGAAATGTGCAGTTGGCAATACATAAAAATCATTAAATATTTGGGTGTCTGATTGACAATACGTTGAGTTTCCACCACCACATTGACTTTCTTTCGAACAGAACCCGTGAGGTAATTTATATATTTAAAAACTTGCGAGATGTTGCCGACGCAAGTGTTTTGAAAATGGTGTACCAAGCCTTATGTCAATATATGTATATTGAGTTATTGTATCACAGTGTGGGGAGGTACACCAGAGACTAATTTACTAAAGGTTGAGAGAGCTCAAAGAGCTGTTTTAAGGGTGAGTTTTGGTCTACCATTTTGTTACCCCACAAAGGAACTGTATTCAATGGCTGTTGTCCTGACAGTGCGGCAACTATTTGTTCTCAATACTATATTGAAACAGCACTCCTTAATTAAATTTGATCCTTCACTAAATACATCCAAGCGCCTCAAACATAAGGACTGCCTATATACTGTCTCATAGTCTAAAAGTTTTTCACAAAGATTCTTTGGTTTTCTGGGAGTATACTTGTATAATAAAATTAATTAAAAGATACAATTTTATTCACTGACAAAATCAAGTGCAAAAGGAACCTAACTTCATGGTTTAAATCTCTTAGTTATGAAGATACTGAGAATTTAATAATTATCCCTTCGTAATTTCTTTTTTTTTTATTGGCTTAAAACAAAGTAAAACAGTTATATAAATATAAGTATAAAAAAATAAGACAGTATTTAATAACGCATTCATAACATACACACATACACCCACACACACCCACGCATACACACACGAACTCCTACATAACATATTTCACACTCATTTCGCACACAACAATCTCTTTTATTACTTTTTATGTATTACATATCACTGGTACCTCATTATAATTCCCTCCTAGTTCAGGATTGAAGAGGCTGGTTATCTGTCATACAGTTCTACTAGTACAGATACCAGTCTCTCGCATAGATTATAAAATTGTTCTACTTAGTTTCAAGGAGGTTACTATATTGTGATATCTGTGTGAGAGAAAAAAAAAAGTTTATTATAATTATTATTTTGGGCGGGGGATATGTCAGGTTGAACTTGTATTCAGTATAAATACCAAACTAATATATCACCTATTTTACCACTCTGTCCCGTCTGATAATCTGGCAAATGGACTAGGGGGAGAGTGCAGGTCATGTTGATCCCCTAGGCAAGTCTGAGTGTCTCCTACACGCGGTGGCCGCCTGTTATTGGTGTGATTCCTTAAGAAACAGATATAACTAAAACAGTCAGGCGCAACCCTACTCACATCCTTACTAATCCTATCCTATCCTTATCCATACTTCCCATCAAAATCCTTAAAGTTGTCGCACCCAAATTAGGCAGCTTTCTAGTCCACTTAGTTCAGGGAGGCGGCCAAGTGGTTTGTGAGCCTCTCCTACGCTATGACCTTTTTTTTTTTTTGTTAACGCAGGGGAAATGCACTTTAAGCCTCAAACCAGGGCTCTCCTTCCACCCCGCCCTAAAAAGGGCAGGTTGGTGTGAAAGGCCTACCTGGTAAAACCCGCTGCGGTTCACCTCACACGGATGGGAAGAACCCGGTATCCTGCAAGGAGGGCCCGGTTTCTTCCGCCGCGCTGGGACTCCTCTCGGGGGGAAGAGGAGTCGCCCTCTGCGGGAAGGAAAAGACTTGGGTGAATAACAGCCTTTTCCCAAACGGTGGATCGTCCCCGTGGGCTAATCCCAGGGGGGTGCGGGTGGGGTGTCAGCCCTCGTCCGCCGATCCGCAGAAGGGAGGGATGCGTTAATACGCGATCCCACCCCCCTTGCCGCCTTCCATTTCGAGAGTGCCGCCCGGGCCTCCCACCTGGGCTTCCTGTGGGCTTACCCCAAGGCTGCCCCTCAGGCCCCCTCGCAGCACTCTCGTTCCCGCTACCAACGGGGCTCTGTCGCCCCCCGGCGCCGCCAAGACAGTGCCATGCAAGCATAACGCAGTCCACCGCCGCCGGGCGGAGAGAGTCCCCGGCCCCCATGCCGTGTCCGCAGCCACGCCTCCACCGGCCGGTCGCCCGACCCATCCGGGATGGGCCTCACCGACCGACCACCAGCGGCGCAGCCGCAGTTGTAGTAGCGATGTCAACAGGCACCCACGTACACACACACGCACACACACTTTCCATACACATCTCACTCATACATTCAATCTTCTGTTGTACCCATACCCTTATCCTTACTACACACCAACAAACACATATACACACTCACTCTTTCTTCCACTTCATGCCCATACAAACACCACTTTGCATGCATCGTTCAAATATTCATTCACATACTCACTCGCATATTCACATTCGTGCGTACACGTACACACATATACATTCATCCACACGCACTTCCCGCCAACGCGCCCCGGGCATTTCATGTGCCTGTCGACGTCACCACCACCATCGCAGTCACAGGGTACCACCCCCGAAGAGGGTGCCCCACGCGTCCTAAAAAGCACACGCGTTTCCGCCCCCACGGCGACATCCCTGCGTTCGCAAACACGACGGGGGTCACCTTGGTCCCCGGAGCCACCAGAGACCCAGTGCCGCCACTCAACAGCCATTTCTCCGTAGGAGAAATGATGAGAGCCGTGGCACGGGCAGGGCGACGTGGGCGGCGCCAGCCGGCGAGCCCCGCGCGAGGTGACAGCGCGCGCGCTGTCCAACCCTTCCCCGGGCCCACCGGCGGGCACCGCACACGTGGCGGCTCCGGGGAGCAAGGCTGACCTTTCAGGAAGAGAGGGGGAATTCGTTGGCGATACGTCTACGTCTTCCCCCCTCACTCTGCTGCGGAGAGAGTTCGCTGGGGCCATGCCCTCGCAGAAGGAGGCGACTGCCATCCAGGACCTGTCTCCATCCAGCATAGCTTTGACTATGCCAGGTAGGGAGAGGTCCTGTCCTATAACTTCTGTCAGCACTCGTCGTTGTTCGAACCAAGCGAGGCACTCCTCGCGAGTGTGTTGCGCGGTATCTACAGCTGCGTTGCAGTGGTGACAGGCTGGAGACTCCTCCCGCTGGATACGATGCAGATACTGACCATAGCATGCGTGCCCGGACAGCATCTGCACCAACCCGAAAGACAGGGATCCGAAGCCCCTGTCGAGCCACTGGTGGAGAACCGGCTGAATAGCTCTGACAGTACGAGTCCCATATGACGGGTTCTCGAGCCTGCGTTTCCAGCTCTCCAGCAGTTTCTCATTAGCCTCCTGCCGGATTCTCACCATCTCTTCCGTGGTGGCCGGCTCCCCCCTTGTGATGGCAGTCACTCTCCCTATATATACCTCTCTGCCGACCTGGGCCTCTAGGTCCCAAGGGAGCATTCCTGCCAGGACACCTGCTGCTTCGAACGAGATGGTCTTGTACCCCCTTATCACCCTGTTTACGATCACCCTTTGTAGCCTGTGGAGGAGGATAGTGTTAGGTGTATTTAGGGTATTCGCCCACACAGGCGCCCCGTACAGGGCCATGCTTTTTATCACCCCAGTAAACAGTTTGCGGCAACTGCTGCCGGGGTGCCCAACGTTGGGAAGTAGTCTTCCCAGAGCGGCTGCTGCTTTTTGGATTCTAGGCGCTAGCTGTTTAAAATGGCGATCGAAGCGCCAGCGTCCATCCAATACTAGGCCGAGGTATTTAAGGCCCAGGGTCATGCGGATGGTTTCTCCACCTACTCTGAGACTGGCTCCTGCGGGTGGGCCCCGTCTGGGCCCATGAAAGACAATTGCCTCCGTTTTACTGACAGCGACTTTTAGGCCTAATCTAGTGATCCTGTCCACCACATGTGCAGTAGCTTGTTCCGCCCTTATTCTGGCCTCTCCATAGTCCGCGCCCCTAGCTGTGACCAAGGTGTCATCCGCATAGCAGATGACACTGGTCATGGGCAGCATCCGACCTCGAAGAAGCCAGTCATAGCCAAGGTTCCACAGGAGCGGTCC